CAAATATTTACTATTATTATGTGCCAGGCACTGAAACAAGCAATAAAAACATAGAGAGGGAGGGGCAAGGGGAGGGAAAAAGAGAGGGAGAGGGAGGAAGGAAGGAAAAGGAATAGCTCCCATAAAAGTGTATTTAGAAAATTTAATCCTTATAACAGAAATTCTTCAATGAAAGACACTACCTATACAAATCCTAAGGATCACATATTCTACATAGGTGTGGAGGGAGAGGGTGATGGGTTAGAGAGGGAGAGAAACAGAATTAACAGAAGAGAGGCCCACATTCTACCTCAGCTCAGATTATGACTACCTGGGTCTAAATTCTGGCTCTAGTTTTTATTAGTAGTACAATTTTCAATTATTAAATCTCTAAATATCCAAGTTTCCTTATCTATAATGCCATCATAACATTAAGAAGGTAAAATGAGACAAATGAAAAAGTTAAATTTAGCATGGTATGTGACATAGTAAGCAGACTTTTTATTATTTTACCCTGGTTGACAGCCAACTGTGAAATTAATTCCACTAGACTCTAGTGTTATTATAGATAATGCCATCTATAATAATCACTTCATTACATATAAGATGTCAAAAATTATATTTCTATTTCACAAATTTTCAAGTTGCATCATGTATAAATATTTGCTTTCCAATATCTGGACTGCAGGTTAAAGAGAATGAATAGTTCTACTTTAAAGAAAAAAAACACCAAAATATAAGAGAATGTGAAGAAAACACTATTTTTAATGCAAAAGAGGAAACCGTTAAAACCGCAAGCCAAACTATGAGAATTTCTACCAACTACAGCAAATTCTGTACAAAAATAAGGAAGGATCTAAGCCAGGCATTTTCTTCAGATCCGGGCAAGGTGACTGAGTCTTCTAAAGGAGAATTTTGGTGTCTGCATCCACCTGTCTCTTTATCTCTACTTGAATCTGAGAATCCCTATTAATATTCTTTTAGATTATTTAGAGCTGTGTGTATAATCCACAAGAAAAGCTCTCCATACAACTCATAATACAGAACAAGGTGGAGCAGTGATAAAGAAGGGACCAAAGGAATCTATCACCCAGCTGGAGGTGAAGGGTAAGAGCCAACTCAACAATCACTATCTAAGAACCTATGATCTAAGGATCCAGTCACATCAAATAGTGCAAATAGTGCAAACTTCTTATAAGAAATCAGGACTGTCGGGGCCCAGACCTGAGGCCCAGACCTGAACATCCGGGTTCTTGCCTGAAGCAGGTACTGAATGTTAGCTCAAGTGAAGGTTTCAAGTTTCCTATTGTGACGACTGATCCTTTCCCCCTGCTTGCTACTGTGGCTTGTTTGCATTGGTGGGCTCTCCTTGCTAGAGATAACGAGAGACCTCCTCCTCTGAACCCTATATAACATTGTACACATTCCTGAATAAATGAGACTGGCGATGATCCTGGCTTTGTCTCCACTCCTTGCGTACCCCTGTCCCATACCAAGCCCCTGCTTCCTCCCCCGGGTACCCCGTTGATCTGCCCGGCTGGCCCGGACAAGGACATAAAACTTGAATAATTAAACATGTAAGGACGAGTCTCTATCAAATGATCAACCTTTTATATTCTTCATTTTTCATTTTAGAGAAAATTTTTAAAACATTTCCATTTTTTTTTAAAACAGATTTATTTTATTTATTATGCATACAAGAGCTGGGGGGTAGGTCAGAGGTACGAGGGGAGTGGGAGAGTGAGAGGATTCACCAGAGACAGAGTGGGGAGCAGAACAGGCAGATCTACTGAAATACACTGCTGAGGGGAGCAGCAGGCAAGGCAGGAGAGGTCTGCTGCACCATGTGGGTTACTACCTGGCCAGGGATCAAACTCATGCTGCAATGGCTGTGGATAGCTTCATAGTGCTGAGACTTAACCCCTTGCCCCACCCCATCACAGGGAGGCCCATTTTAGAGAAATATTTTCAGAACAAATGATCTTGCTGCAAGTAATCTTGCCATGGATACTAAAGTTGTTTCAAAAATTCTAAATTACATTCATTTATTGAATGTTCATACTGAACCATATCATGATTTTCATATAATGCAAGAGTTAAATAGGGATTATTTCACATTAATTTTTTATGATTATACTAGTTAAGGTTAACCTAATTAATATTATAACATGTCTCTAGCAATTAATATGAAAGGCAAGAAAAACTACTAAACTTTGTTACACTAAGAGTTCTCATTACTTTGAAGAAATTAGACAACTTTTGTTGCTGACATTTCTTTCCATTTATCTATCTTTATCTAGGCAACTGATCAGGTGTAACATCTAGTTCAATTCTAACTTATGACTTACTGAACACTCATCCAATATGTTAAAAGGTTGTTTTGATGGATCCAGAATTTGAGCTTAAGGGTATGGATATTAGTGAGTCTAGCATGGCCCTCAGAACCATGGTGATCTAATCAAATTTAAATAGAACCCCTAAAAGATGGTCTTTTAGAAACTTAAGACCCTGCACATATTTTTGAAGACTGTGTGAAGCTACTGTTTTTTTAGTTTATTAAGATACAGTTGACATGTAATGTATTGGTTTAAGGTGTGCAACATATATATGATCACTACAGTAACAATAATTAACTTCAATAGTAAACACTATTTTCTTATGAAAAGAACCTTTAAGATCTACTTTCTTAGCAACTTTCAAACATACAGTACGTATTATTAATTTTAGTTACCAGGCTGTTTATTATACCCCCCGAAAATCCTTGCCTCTCCTTCCCATTCTCATTTCACTAAAGACTAGGGAAACTGGGACCAAAACATGAACAGATTTCTGAAAAGGAGAGCGTCTAAACTTACATCATCATAGGTTAATCCAGCAAGTATTCACGCAGAGCCAATTCTGTATTCAACATGTTCCAGGCAGAAGAAATAAGCTAGGAAGCAAACCTGACTAAATCCTTGCCTTCTAGAGTTTATACTACAGTGGAAGAGAATGAGAGGGGAAAAATGACTAAAATTTTTAGCAAAGTATAAGGAAAAGGGTAACACACAGGAGCAGGAAAGGATGGAGGTGGTGGCTGCCATAATCAGGGGCAGCCTCTCTGATGAGGTGGCATTTGAGCAAGGACTTGAAGAAGGTAAGAGAGTAAGCTATCTGAAGAAATGGGGGTTTAAAGCTGAGGAATACCCAGGCCAAAGGCCCAGAGACTTAAGAAGGCCGGGGCGTTAGAGCAGAATGAGCAAAAAGGAAAATAGCAGAAGCTAAAAGTCAAAAGAAATTTGGAGCAGAAAAGTCATGTACAGTTTGAGGCGAAACCTGATTTTTTATTCTGAGAACTGTGAACAATTAAATTCATTTAGAACTTTACTTTTCCTTGAAAAAAAAAAAACTATTACCTAATAAAGCTGTTGAAATATAACTATCTTTCAAAGACAAGTTGAAATAGCTTTTATAAATATATGTGATGCTTAATTTTATACATGATTTTTAGTTGAAATAGGTACTCTCAAACTCTTACTTCAAAGCTGACAACTGATTACCATCACACTGATAAGGCTCATCTATCACAGTCACAAAGACCAGGAAGTCAATCTTCTAAAAGCAACTAAAACTCCTTGATACAAACATTCACTTTAAAGGAAGAATTTAAGTCAAATTGAACATTTGTAAAATTTCTCCTAGGTATAAAAATGAAATGGAAAAAAAAAAGACTCTTTATGTTGAATCATACAATCTTTATGTCAAAAATGAAAGTGAATCAATAGAATACCATATAATAAAAAAAAACACAGAATTCTTACCCCAAATCCTAAATATTAAACTACCCAGAGCTGTACTCTTTCTAGCAAAGCTACTTTTAACATTAAAAAAGAAACTTTCTTAGATAATGTTCATTAAAAAAATCCACATACAAACCTGTATTCTATCAAGTCCTATTATTCAAATAGAGGCCTTAATGAAGAAGAAATAGTTTTCTCTTGAAGTGCTTCAGTTCTTATCTCTAGTAAATTTCAGCTGAGAACTAGTAAGCTAGAATCCATAGAGGAATAGACATCTTACAGGCAGTGCATCAGTGATGAAGTTATTCAAGAAGAAACTGATGTAAGAATATTGCCTGAGTCCACATTTAACAATATTCAATGCTGTATGATTATGTAGCTTGTCATAAAAAACAGATTTTAAAATTTTAACAAGTTTGTAAATAGAAGCAAAAAATTCTATTTAGGCCACCATTTAATGGGCTCTTCATGCAAAAATTCCCTCAGTCCTTCTCCTAAATATCAACAGATAAAATTTCTTCAACTTCACTATGCATAGTATCTATAAATTCTGGCAATACACTCACAATTCAAATGAATGCAATCTCTCTCAATAAATATGGCTTACAATAATCTGACTACAACAAAAATATTTCTAAGTCTGTTTGCCTATGTTAGGACTGGGCAGTGTGACTACAATAGGTCTATTCTGTAAGACCCACTTTGTACTTTATACTGTGAAGCCTTAGATAGTTAAGAAGAAATTAAACATTAAGTATAATTCCCTAAAAAATATTTTTAAAGGAGCCCAAAGAGAATTAGATAAATGCTATTTAAAGATAGAAATTGTTGGCATTACCTGAGTCACCATCATCTCCACTTTGAAAACTGTAATTGTCTCTGACTAACTCTACGGTCGATGAGCATACTGTGAATATACTATACAACACCTACCCAATATAATGCTCATCCCACTCCGTTATTCTGATGTTTTTATTTTTCATAGCATATATAACTTCCTAACATAAGTAATCTATAGTCAGTTTTTCCACATTGGAGTATCTGTTCCATAAGGGCACCAATCTTTGTTTTGTTCTCTAATAATCTCTAAGTTCCCTGAACAGTACCTGACACATAATTAACATCCATAGAATGAATGAGTTTTAGTTATTAAGCAAATATAAAGAAATAGCTAATTATGTTTGATTAAAAGTAATTATGAGAAACATATGCATGATGTATAATATACAGAGCTTACCATACCAGATAAAATAAGCAGTTCAATGATTTCTGCATCTCCAAGATAGGCAGCAGCATGCAGTGGAGTTCTCTTTTCATTGTCCTATCATAAGGAGGAAAAGGTGGAAAATAAGCTTTAATATAAAGTCAATTTTAATGTACTCTAACTGAAATAATTAATAACTACCAACGGATTACTTCCACAACACTAATCTAGACTTCAATTCCCACTGACAGGGTAAGAGAAAGTTTTGCTAAAGAAGTTTATAAAGAAATCTACCCTTAAAAGAATGACACAAGGTGTGACAAAGAATAAAAAAATCTAAGATGACAAAGAAATAGCTTCTTAGACCGTTTAAAACAAAAATGCACACATGCTGCTGACATATATAGGCAAATTTCATAACTAACTTTCCAATATATTTCCACAATTTTACAGTTTAGAACTACCTAATAAATAAAACAAACCTTAATCTACCAAGAGGTTTGCTTATCAAAATTCCATAGGATTGAGCATAGTGACAATAAATTTATCTCTGAGAATTTGAAATTATCCCTTAAAATATTTTAAAGTATTGCTTAAAGTTCCTGCCAACATTGTTTTTGGCTCTAAAATATATTCTTTATCTTTTTAAATAGCAAAAAAACAAACAAAAAACTCAGCCTTTCAAATCTTCCTCCAGGAGGAGGAACTACATCTAATGTATGGCTTTATGTATGTCCTCCACTCAAAGAATTTTCTCCAATTTGAGAAATAACACACTCAGGATGTTTAATTCATATTTATACCTCATCTAAAGTTATAAGAGTATTGCTGATTCAACTGCATCTAAGAAAGCTACTCAGGAAAACAAGCTGCTTATTTAGAAATTTACATCCAATTTTTTATACATATTTTTGCCACAGATTGTTAATCGTTTCCCCCTTGTCTACAAGGAATAAAGTTTTAGTTGGTTATCCACTTGACAAGAGAATACACTCCAAGGCAGCCTTGAACTTCCGTTACTGAGTGTGGCCCAATGATAGATGAGTGGAAATAGGCACATGTTTCTGGTCATCTTCAACTTAAAGACAAATACCTTAGAGCTTGACTAGTACTTTCCCACTTCCCACAGAAGGGAAAGGAGTGCTAAACTGAGCCAGCTTTGACCATCTAGAGGTAGGTCAATATCTTAGAAGACTGTCAGTATATTGGAGAACAGAGATGCCCCACCAACCATGAGACTTATTATTAAGAGAAATTAACTTACTGTATCTTGGCGTCTTTAACATATTAGTATAACAGTAAATTTTTTAAGATCTAAAAAAAAAATGATCTTCACTTTGTAATAATTTTCTACTTTGGCAATGCCCGCAAGTACTCTAAAAAGGATAAGCAGACCACTGAGAATAGGAAGAAAAATGCCAGCGAAGAGAGGGGCTAAAACCATCCATGGGGAAGCCAAATGAGGCTAACTACAGTACAGATATATTATAAAGATGAGTCTAAAACATTATCACTAGTCTCTTCACATATTTCTTTATATAATTTTAATATATTTGTGATGTATTTTTTAAAGATTTATCTATCTATCTATTTATTTATACATACATACATACATACATACAAGCACTGGGTATAGTCAGAAGCACAGGAGGGTGAGAGAATTCACCAGAGCCAGAGCAGGGAGCAGAAAAGGCAGACTGATGAAGTACACTGCTGAGGGGAGCAGCGGGCGGCAGGAGAGGTCTGCGCGCCATGTGGGACCCTCCTCCTGTGGCTGGGGAGCAGCCGGGGATCGAACCGGTGCTGCAAAGGCTGCGGGCAGCTTCGCAACCCAGCGCTCAACCACTGCACCACTGGGGAGGCCCCTGTGATGTATTTTTTTTTGACTGTATAATAGTAATGGATGATCCAGTAAAGGGAGGCTGGTATAGTAGTTAATTGATTGGCTTAGTAAAGAGTTCTTGTCTTTTGAACCATAATTTTCCAACAGCATGTTTTTTGCTCGATTATATACCCCAGCAAACAAAACACTTTGCACAGAAATTACTCAACAGTTATTGAAAAAGCTAACTCAGAACCACTCAAATATCATGTTTTAGTCAAAGCTGAGTTTTAGTCATTTTAATAAAGGATCCTTTGCTTAAGCTTCTTCAGTGTTACTCATCCACACAGCAAATTTCCCTAGAGTATTTAAGTATGATCAGACCTCTTCAAATTCAGAAGCATATCTATTGCACAGGATAAACCACACATACAGCACAACACAAAGTGAGTCATTTAAGTGTGTGAGATGTCTGGAATTCTATGACTCAATGCCTTAAATCTTATTCATTCATGTATTTTATGACTCATAAACATAGTTTTTCCTCTCCACAAATCAAACTAAAGAGAAAACAAGGAACAAATTGGTTAATTTTAAAAAGGGGGGGGGAAATGGATTCATCGTATTTTACTTTACTACAGTTAAGTACCAAATATTAGGCAATAAAATATTTAATATTCCCACATGGCGCGAAAGACCTCTCCTGTCTCGCCTGCTGCTCCCTTTAGCAGTGTATTTCACGCAGTCTGCCTGTTCCATTCCCCGCTCTGTCTCTGGTGAATTCTCTCACCCTCCCGCGCATCTGGCCTGTACCCCATTCTTGTATAAATAAATAAATAATAAATAAAAAATCTTTAAAAAAAATAGAAAAGGTACACAGACTGAGAAGGAAGAGATAAAATCCTATTCATAGATGGCACATTTTTATGGAGAAAATCATAAGGAGTCTTAAGAAATGCTACAATAAGTTTAGAAAGGTTGCTGAGTAGTCAATATACTAAAAGCAATCGCATTATTATATACAAGCAATTGCCAACTAGAAATGAAAAAAATAAAAACTATACATTCCCAATATAAAACAATAAAAGAAAAAGAAAAGAGAACTGCCTATAAATAAGTGCAACAAAAATTTCAGGGTCTGAAAACTACAAAACACTCACAAAGAAAAAATGAATACCATGTTCATGAATTAGAGATTCACTACTGCTTTCAATTTGATCTATAGATTCAATACAATCCTAATCAAAATTCTAGCAAGATTCCTCATGGATCTCAGCCGAAAATTTATGTGAAAGGCAACTAAATCACACTAGTCAAAGCAATTTTGAACAAACAGAACAAAGTTAACATTTCTTAGTGTGTAATTTCAAGAATAACTATTAAACTATACTAATCAAGGCAGTGCGGTAGCAGAAAAAGGAAAGGCATATTCAAAATAGAGTCTGGAAATAAACCCACACAAATGATTGCTATTTCATGGAAGTACAAAGAGGCATATAATCTTTTCCATGAATGGTCTTGGACAGCAATACACCGAGAAAAGAGTATCTATCTTTACCAGACATTGAATTAAAAAAACAACTCAAAAAGGATGACAGACCTACCTGCCAAACCTAAAATATTAAAAGAAAATATGAAGGTTGGATAAAGAGTTCTTAGATACAATACCAAAGCACAATACATTAGGTTGATAAATTTCATCAAAATTAAAACCTTTGCTGTGAAGAAGACCCAATTAAGAGGATTACTATGGGAGAAAAATGTTTGCAAATCACGTTCGACAAAGAATTCAGAATATAAAAAAACTCTCAAAACTCACAAACAAGAAGTCAATAAAATAAGGACAATTAAACCGTATCGGGGCAATTTGGCATCCATTTGGAAAAAAGAAGCCTATTCTTCTTTTTCTATTTAACTGCATAGGTTGTTATAAAGCTAAATGTAAAGAGCAAAATGATAAAACAGGAATGAATACAGGATGTTATATTTATGGCTCAAGTTAGGAAAAAGACTTCTTACTAAAGACATCAAAATCTTAAAAGCATTAGCTGCAAAAAATGCTGGTAATTTTCACATTAAAATTAAGATCTCATGTTCAATAACCAGCATAGAAGGCAAGATGAAAATGGAGAAAGTACTTGCAATATAGATTATAATAAGTTTATAGTCACAAAGGATACATATCCAGAATAAACTAAAAAATTCCGCAAATTAGCTGTATGGAACTCAAAAAGAAAAATGGGTAGAGATTTAATAGGCACTTCATGAAAGAATATCTGAATGGGGGCCTCCCTGGTGGTGCAGCAGGTTGAGCACAGTGCTGTGAAGCTCTCTGGAGCCTCTGCAGCATGGGTTCGATTCCCGGCCAGCCACATGGCGCAGCAGACCTCTCCTGTCGCACCCGCTGCTCCCCTCAGCAGTGCTTTCAGTCCGTCTGCCTATTCTGCTCCCCACTCTGTCGCCAGTGAATCCTCTTACCCTCCTGTGCCTCTGGCCTGTACCCCAGCTACTGCATAAATTAGAAATAATTCCACTACCCACTACCAACAAAATATGGATAAACCATGGTACATGTAGTGAGTGGTCTACGATGAACCTTCAGCTACACATAATATAGATCTATATTTTTTTTTAAAAGATTTTATTTTTGTGTAGAAGAACTGGGTTTCAGGTCAGGGGTGCAGGGGGTGTGAGAAGATTCACCAGAGACAGAGTGGGAAGCAGAATAGGCAAATCTACTGAAATACACTGGAGAGGTTTGCTGCGTCATGTGGGTTAGTTCCCTGGCCTGGAATCAAACTGAGGCCATGGAGATGGGCCTTCAGGTGGTAGCCCTGAGACTTAACCCCTAGAACACCAGGGGGGCTCCCTAGGTCTAAATATTTTTAACACAAGTGACACACAAAAGACTCCAGGCCCAAAAGAATTCATGTTATATGATTAATTTAAAAACATGCAAAATTATATTGTACAATGGGCCAGATGGCAAAATTATAAATCCAAAAAGTAAGATATATTGACTACATTGTGGGATTGAAGAAAACAGTTCTCATCATAAAGTGAGCATAAAGGGTACTTCTGAGGTGCTAGCAATGTTTCCACTCTTATCCAGGTAGTGGAGACAATTAAGTAACTCATTATAGCCTGTATTTGTTTTACATATTTTCAGTGTGTCAGATTACACAATTAAAAAAAAAAACTGAAAGGAGAAAAAAATAGGACCCGTGGGCTTAATTTTTCTAAAATAACAATCAAAACTGATGTTAACTAAAACAAAAAATACATAAAAAATTGA